TCTTTACAGCTATTTACTTATGCCGGTCTCGCCTCCTCTCTTTCACTCTCTCCATTGCCGACTCTTTCTTTTATTTGTATTCCTATTTCCAGTGGCCAAAGGCACCTGATTTTGGGTTTTTTCTCTTTTTTGTACATCTTTCAACATGTTGAGCACTCTAATTGTATTTGTTTTCCCCTTTTGTTTATAAACAAAGAAAGTTTGTAGAAAAAATAATTAAAGCAACATCGCGGTGGGTGGAATATCTCGTGCTGCTGCAATTAGCGTTTAACCAAGTGAAGCTGTAAATTAATTGAAATTAAATCATTATGAGTGCATATTTTATATAGCTTTGCAGGTCTAATTAAGCAATATAGGTGGAGCTCGGTATTTTAACTGGTTAACGGTGCGTATGCACGTTAATAATTCGGTTCTTGGAAAAGAGTATTCAATGAATTTATTTATATGCGCATAACTATTTGAGGGAGGAATTTTCTATGGCTAAAATAATTCCACGTATTCCAAAGATAATAATTCCCTTATCATATTTATCCATTCGGGGAATCAACTTTTTATAATACTCTATCATTAATGATGGCTAATTCTTTTCAATGCTTTCTTTACATAACTTTTATCCACATTCACGGAACATTTCCCGTTCCATCTTTCATAAGTCATTATTATATTTCTCTCTCATTTTCTTTGAACTTTTGCTAATTTTTTGTTTTGTTTGAAGTTATGTAAACTTAATGCGCGCCCCATCAATGCTGGTAGCTCTGCCCCGTGTTCATTCATATTTTTTTGCCATCATCATCATCTGCCACCATCGTCATCGTGTGTCTATCCGTTGGATCACTTTCACTGCCGTCGGTTCCCCCAGGGCTATTTCGCGTTTGTTTTTATAGATATTTTTAGTTTTTGCCATGTTGATATCATCAATGAATAAATGCGATAAATGTTTATTATATTTTATTTAGGGCAATGTTTTTGTCCCTTTGTATAGACATTCTCAACGTAATTCATGCACTTTTATTTTTGTTGTGTTTTTTCCGATGCGATGCACAAGAGCGAATGCAAAAATTCATTTGTTAAATTATTTTTGTCAAACTTTTGATGTGCATAAATAGCTCAAAAATAGCAAGCAAAGGAGAGAAACAGAAAAAATGCCCTTTACACAGCAGTTGCACTTATATAAATACGTAAATGTAAACATTTTTGGCAACGAATGGCCAAATATTTGTTAACAAAATATATATATGTGTATAATGAATGGAAAATGTAAAACGGATAAGCTTTTGAGGGGTGATGCGGGGGGTGGGGATGCAGTAAGGTGCAAATATTCTGTTTTGTTATCCGTAATGAATGTATGCAAATAATTGCCGTATTGAGTGCAATGAATTTACAAGCAAGTGCTTCGCTCTCAATAGATATCCAAATATTTGTGGTTGTTTTTCAAAAACATACACGTGCCCATCAGTCAGACTTTTCTTTTTATTTCGCTATCGATAGTGTGTCAAACTGTCAACCTATTTCGTGGAATTCCGAATTAGTCAAGTGATTGATATGACGCCAGTAGTTGTTTCTAATTTAGTTTTCTTACTTCTTATAGATAAGCGGGTCTTGATTGTTGGCACAGTGAAAATCCAAGGTTTTTGCTAATTTGTAGCTAAGTATATGGAATAGAAACAGAAAAGTAGATAACCTTTTGAAGGTAATTAAAATTTACCAAACTGTTATACCTCTGTTAATTCAAATAACTCTTCGTATTTGGATTAAATCGGAATGGTCGATAAAGATTTCTTGGAACAATCAAGATTTTTAAGTAAGGTAATTAACTTTATTTGTGACCATGTCTCACACCTTAATTAGCATGCATAAATAGCTCTTATCAAATCAAAACAGTTTTCAAAGTAGGGCACTTGGAATATTTGGAGGAAAAAAAGATAAACTAAAACTACAAACGGATTGTAAACTTTTATAGGAATATATGGTACAAATTATAGCTATTAATATCAATTCTACCCATATCACAACTGTTTTTAATTCGCTACTTAGGTCTCGGAACCCAAAGTAGATTCTCTTTCCTGCAAAATGTGTGTTGCAAGTTGCAATTGACTGCGCTCTCTACCGCTGAACATATTTAGATTGAAAACGTAAAGTATCTCTGGCTGTGGGTAGCAACGACAAACTTAGAGATACAGATACCGCTACCCACACTCGCAGATACAGGAAAGTGCAGTAACACAACTCTTCGAGGCCATCGCCGTCGTCACTATATCGCCGACGCTTCGCCTGCAACTTTTACAATCGCAGCTAATTAGCAAATTCATGCTAATTTCGAGTTGTAACAAATAAAATTACAACGTGCACGTGTCGCTTTATGTAATTAGTTGCAACATGTTGGCAAAAGTTGAAGCACTCGGCTGGGCAGAGATAAGTCCTTGCCTCGTTTGGGGTGATAAAACAAAAGTTATGTCCCATGGGAACGAGAATGCGCAGCCGGGACACCGAGAAAGCTGAGGGACTGCGAAGCGCATAATTCATAATGAAGATGTTGTAAAGAGCGATCGCTCCAAAGTCCAGACAAAGGGAGTGCTCGTTTATCACAATGCAAAAAAGGGAATTGCAGAAGAGGCCGCTCCTGGTCGTAGGTTCCCAAAAGAGGACGGTCCCCCGATTCTAAAGGAAGTCTGCGTATAATTACAACTCTTAAGACTTGGCCGGACGTCTCCGCCTTTTTCTATGCTCCATTGAGGGATGCCCACGGGACACGATTTAAGAGTTCTCACAAAATGGCAGGCCCATGGGAAAAGGTCCCTCTTTAGGGCTCGTGTCACGAGGTCATTTCTATTTAAAGCCGGACGGCTACTGAAAGCCTTCGAAGGCCCAAATCGATTTTAGTTATTGATTGTAATGATTCCTTGGGCCCCATCCTTCATGACTGCTTCCTCTTGGCCTCTATCTATCCTTTCCCTGTGCTATGATTAATTTTTGTGTCGAGTCAGGTTTTGCGGGCTTTTGTTGTTGCTGCTGCTGCCTTTTGTGATTTGAAAAATTAGTGCAAACTGCAAATGATCATAAATCAAACAGTTTTGTTGATTGCATTCGAAGTGGCCACAAATTGCATGATTCTGCAATTTCTGAACTGCATCTCCTCGCCAAACCTGCAGTTTGCATTCCCCGGATGCTGCTGACACGACAACAACATTGGAGTCCCTTGTCCCTTCGAAACCGAGAGGAGGGGTTGAATGGGTTTGGATGGGTTGGGGTAAAGGGCATTCCTGTTCATGGTAGTTCCGCAAATAATTCGAATTTTTCCGACGCAAAAACAACTTGAGGCAAACTATTGACTGGCATTTTTATGTCTTTTGCTCTTTTATTGCTTGGCTGCAATTTTTATTGTATTGTAATTAAATTACGTGTGGCAAGGGGATAAGTGATTCTTTAGGTTGAAAGAATTTAAAAAACCCAGGTTTTATCTAAGCCTTAAAAAATAATCCAAAAAGCTAGACCTCAGCTTGAAGTTATGATGACGAGACCCCGTGATAACTGGTTTTCCAGCTATGTAAATTCAAGCTCCGACTTTAGTTAATACAAAAAAGAGGCATCGCGTGTGTAGTTACGGCCACACGACCTTCGCTCATCGATGATTATGCGGGATACAGCATTGACCACTCAAAACAGTTCAAGACAATTGCACAAAATTAACTCCCATATCTGATGATGATGATAGCCGCATGACGTAAGCCCGGCACTTTGTCCGTCGATCATTAGCAAATAATTTACACCATTTATTTTGGAAGCGAGAACCGAGTGCCGGAATACCTTTCGGCAAGAGGGAATCGTTCCTGTAATCGGCTTAAAGTTTATGGACCACCATTTACCTTAATGAACTACCATCGAGGCTTTCAGCAGTTTGGGTGGTCAATTGCTGTAAGTAGCTTAAAGTCGATCGCCGCAACATTTTGTTCTCGCCTCTGTGCTTTGTTTTCGACCTGCATCTGTTTAGGTCTTATCTGTCTTTCGGGCAACATTGTATGCTTGGCCAGGGGATGATGCAGTCCGCCTTTAAAGCATCGCTAATTAGTTTTGCCATTTCAATTAGCCCACCGATGTGTCGTCGAGATGGGAGTTTGCCCATCTATCTGGGTGACTTGGTCAGCACAGACACATCCACATCCGCACGACTGCTGCTGCTACCCACGCCATATATATGGCTCCACGTCATGCCATTGGATCGGGGTTCTTTGCCAAACCGTCCGTCCTCGTGTACCTTGAAGTAGCTGCATATCAACAGCCAACGGCCAACACCTAACCGGTTTGGCAGAGGGTAAAATGGCAAAAAGCAGGAAAAATATGCGATAATACATGGTATGTGGGCGTTTGAATTGAACCCGAGAGAAAGTCAAGTAAAGTGGAGGAGAGAAAATGTCGGAAAGCCCGTTGGGGGACACTAAACCATATTGATTAGCCGGTGACCCAAAATGAAAATGTTTGGAAAACGTTTAGGAATCTTTTAGGCAAATCAAGGAATTTCTCTGCATACCGGATTGGATTAGCTTCAAAAAGTAGTTTAAGAGAGTTTAATAAGGAATGCCTAACCATTCTAAATCTCTTCTTTAAAAACAACAAAAATTAAGTAAAGTTCTTAATATTTTGTACTCATATATCGTTTAATAGTATTAGCATCACACCGTAAATAATCCACTTAAACGCTTTCCCCTAAACAAGCGGATAATATATCTATGGCCATAAATTCCGAAAATTAATTTCATAGTTAGCATAAAACCCCAACTAAAATCGAACCCTTTACTACTATGGGAAATTTTCCACGTGCGTGGCCAAAGCGGAAATTAAAACTCCCCTGACAAACATATGGATCCTGCGTCATAAATCCATGGCCTTACAAAAATAATTAAATACATTGTAATAACTACAGGCACTCTATTATCTTGTTGATAATGGGAAATTTATCGGAGCTCCAGCTAATATTCTCTGTGCATATTTTTCTCTAATTGCAGCATTTGTGGTCACGCTCTGAAGAAAATCCAGGAAGCGGGGGAAGGAAACTCATGCAAAGGTAAGCAAACTGGAAGGAAAAACAAACAAATTTTCAATGTCAATTTGTAGTCGGAATTTATGATAGCCATTGTTTTGTGCGCCAAATATGGCTAACAATTTCACTGAACATGGCCAGCTACTTACGGCCAACTAACTGGCCAAGAGACCGGGTTTCATTGTCTCGATTGTGTGGCTGCCTTTTATTTATTTTTCTTAACTTTTTTTGTGTACCCTGCTGTCGGACCCGGCTCTCGCTCTTGGCCTCGTTATTGTGCCAAATGGCCATAAAAGGTTAATTGGGTCCTTAGCAACTCTTCTGCAACAAATAATGCAGGCATTCCATAGACTTGGGCGACTGCTTCTTCTACCTAGGCGCGACATAGAAAAATCTTAATTAGTTAATTAAAACAACAAACAACTGCAGTCGCGACAAGAACTGGTCAACTGATCCAATGGTCCTGTTTTTTGCTTGCTTTTTGTCCTCTTCAGGTCTTTGAAGTTAGCTACACAGAGAAAAATATAAGACAGGAATGTTTTAAAGAATTTTCCGTTGGATCTATTGAGTTTTACTCTTACTTAAGAGCTGCCACACTAAGAATACTGATATTGATAATGATACGAACAATTAGATAAGTTAATAATTAATTTATTAGGAATCAACCATTGCGATATGGTGGAAATATACCACTTATTTTTTGCCTCTGTGCACTTTTCTGTTCTGTTTTCCAAGGGCGGACTGCAAGTAGTTCACTTGGGCTACTGCATAATTCATTCGGTTTTAATGACATCGAGGCGTGGATGCTGGACTGGGATAGAGACACGTTGTCTGGTCCTCCGTAGATCTATCCATTCGCTCCTTCAAATCCCTCGAGGTGACATTAAACTATGAAAGGCATTTAGTTTAGCGATTTATATAGGCGACTTTTTGACAGTTTTATGTCGCCCAGATACAGATACAGAACCAGATACGCGTTGTCCGCCGATAACGAGCTGCAAGCAGCTGAAATGTTCTCCTTGTTGCTTTTCCGCAGCCTCATTAAATGAAGCGGCAAATGTTTATATATATTTATGTGGCGGCAGCATTCGCCCCACAAATACTCGTTATCCTTTGGCCATCGTCGATGCAATTGCCTGGCAGGGATTTATTTGCTTTTAAGCAGTTTGTAATTGCCGTACATCCAACGTGCAAGCAATGTAATCCACCAGTGAGATGTGTGTGCTCGGTGGCAGGAAACGCCAAAGGGTTCAGAGTTTCAGTCCAGAGCAGGGAGCTTAGCTCCCAGGGGATTCCAAATTGATTTTACTCTAACGAACCGTATTAAAAGGTCCGAAGTGCAAATAGATTTAATGAGCAATTGGGCTGTGGATTCTGATGTTGGAAGTACTGTAATAAAAACTATTATTTAGTTAAAGTTCCCTAATAAAATCACCTGACCACACTAAAAGCGCAGTCTGACCTTTTTACAAGTGGAACTAATGGGTAAATGTATTGCACCCTTTATTAAAATTTTTTAAATAAGTAAAACTTCTTAAATTGTCTAAAAAACTGTACATTTTAAAAACTTTTCATATTCAGTTTATAAAAGGAGTATTAATTTCAAAACTTAAACTTGAAAGTTTCGACAACAATTTTAGCCAAAACAAGCAAACTTCTTGACAGGTTCAAAGCCCAGCTAATTTCCATAAACTTTTTATGCAATATCATTTATGATCTAATTTGACTCATCTCCATTTCCCTTTCGTGCGACCTTTGGCAAAAAAATAAAAACTTTTGCTCCGAGCAAATTGTTGAACATGCCAAACCTCAGCGAAAATTCCAACAAATGTTATTTTCAATTTCTTCTAGTTCCACAACTTTTATCCTTCCCTGCGTTTGCTACTTTTTGTATCCCCTTCTTGACCACAAAATGTGTGCCCTAATCTGATGCCAACCAAAATGAGCAACCCGAAAAAGGACAAGGCACAAAAAATATATATAATAGGAGTATGTTATGGGCCTAGACATAGAAAAATGACCAATGGCTAGAGAAGGGGAATGTGGGTGGCCCACATACGGAAAATGAAACCATTTTTGTCATTTGACAGGCAATTTTCAGGCGTAACATTTTCGATTTTTCTAGCCTCCCGCTTTTCATTTTCCGCCACAACGCAACCGAATTATCTCCCCCGAAAAAGGGGCCCTAAAAAAATAAGAGCAATAAAATGTGCGCTGTCCTTCGGTGACCCAAAAAAAAATTCTATATAAAATCGGACGTTGATAGTTTATACAGCTAAAAGCAGGCGTATGTGTGCGGCTAAATCTGTTGCCATTTCTCATGTTTCAGTGCCAGGGCAACAAAACATTTTTCCACAAGCCTGCCAATCTGCTGGGCACTGCCATGGTGTGGAATATTTAATCGAGCTGCCACATTGAAATATATTGAGTGCATTACCGAATCCAGCAGCCGCTCACAACTCAAATCTAGCTTTGGGCTATCATTTGATTAAATCTAAATCTGTTTACGAGCCGTACTTTTCCCGCTGTTCTTCCCTTTTTATAGTCCCTGTTGCAAGCAATAAATTAATTTTTCCATCGCTCTGCTTTCCTCTGTTGTGTTTTGTTTTTAGTCTTTTTGTTTGCTCTGTGTAAACCTGAACAAACAAAATTAACGCTGATAACTTGCTGTCTGTGGTTCGTTATTTTTCAGTAGTTCGGCAAACATTTTTAGTGAGGGTTTGTTTTTGTGGAGTTGTGCTAACAAATTAGAGGGCATATGAGTATTCGGTTGGAAATGAATAGTAGCGAATGTAGAAAGATAAAATGGAAAAAAGCTTTGCTCTAAATAGAGGTGCTAACTAATACCATGGTCATATTCATTTGCATGAATTGCCAGAGCCTACATTTTTCTGATTAGATTGTAATTTAATTTACTATTAGTTGACAATTTGATTAGGGGATTACAATTGATTACCATCACTACACCGATAAGTAAAATTACAGGAATCATTAACAGATTTATGAATCAGCAGAACAAGAAGGGGTGGAAAGTTTTAAATTATACTCATAAAGTTGTAGTATATATGAAGCAGTTTAAATGGTCGTTTCCCCTCTTTTTTCACTGACAAGTATTTCAGTTTGTTGAAAATTAGTTTCTTATTCAATTTGCCCAAGTTGATGGCCAAATGGCCAAGGGCCAAGAGTATTGCAAGCGGCAAAATGCAATTCCCGCTCTGAAGTGCAGGAAAAACCAACAAAAATCGGAACTCAAACAAAAGCCGAAAAGGCAAAAAAGCGGCGGCCCGAAAAAAGGAAAGAACCGTGAAAATCGGGAAGATGCCGCCGACTGGTCAGGTTGAAAAATGGCGAGGCATGGAAATGGAATCGAGGGCCCGGAATGGCTTTGACTTCGGACTGAAACTGGCAAAAAAGAGGCAAACAAATAAATATTGAGGTCGGGCAATAAAACAGGAGAAAACGTGGCATGGGGAGTGGTATACAGTGTACACTGCAGGTGGAAAATGCATGCATATGCAAATGAACAATTGATTTCCTTGCGGCTCATTTCGAGTTTTATTCGAATCGAATTTTACTTTGGGCTCGGGTCTTTCTCTGGCGCTCTCGGGACTGGCTGCGCCTTTTTTCTCATTTATTTTGGCCAACTTGCTTGACCCCCAAATTAGTTTGCGGTTCCTGCTTGTTTTGGCAAGGCATTAGACGGAGCAGTGCTGACCTTGTTTTCTGGTTGTGCAAGTGCAAGGTCAGCAGCGAAACCTAAAACAAAAATAGCCGAAAAAGAATCAGAGCAGAGAACTTGGTTGGACCAAAAACCGAAGCTGAATCTGGGGAATTCTGATTACGTTTCATTTGAATTCTTTTCGGATTTCTCGCCAGACTTTTTTTCTGGGCCGGGCCAACAAGTTTGGCAAGTTTCTTTTGGACAGTTTGCTGAATGAATTAGGCAAAAATATAGCTCGACTTTTTGACAAGTTTGCTGGTAACAAAGGAAACGATTTGTGTCCAGTTGTCATAGATTATCAAATCAAGTCTGGCGGCGAAGAAATGGGAAAACAAATAATTTGATTTGATTTCTGGTTTATTTATGTGAGTCCCGTAATGATGATGATATCAGATGGGACAAGTTTCTTCAACCAGAGAAACTCTAGAGAATTTTGCAGAAAACTTTCCAAAATTTTAATGACATTTCTAATGAGTTTCCATGCAAATTGGCAATCAGCTCGTTGTCCCCCAAAGAGAGAAAGACGGAAAATCCATGAATCTTGTTGACTGGCAATTATTTAATTGCAGTTTAATAGCCCCCTTACACACTCATCCTGTAATTTATTTTCGAACAATGAAAAGTGCACGCAAAACGGCAAAAAAGCTGAGCATAGAGAGAGAAGAAACAGATGTTAGAGGAAAAACATTTAATTACATTTTCCACATGTGTGTGGAAAAGCATTTCTGATGCCCGTGCCCCCGTTTGTCAAATTAAGAGCCATAAAAAATGCGTGGCATGTAACCAATTGTCGGCGGGGATCGCCACAGATTGCCGAGGATGCAGCTTGAACAGGTCCTCGTCGATGGAGCGATGCGAACTGGTTACCTGCTGCCAGCCTGCCTCGCAATTAACAGTTAAGCGCCAACGGTAAATAATTGTCAAAGACAACAACCAGTCCAAAGATGCTGCCTGCAAAAAATAAAGCGTTTCGTGATGCACCGCTCTCAGGCAAAGTCGCAGATGAAGATGAAGCCGCGCGCCGGTTGCATTTGCCATCGCAAATGAGGTTTGACTGGTTTCCGTGACATGAACCAAATGCCCAAAAGGAGTTCTGCCAAGTACAGTGGGCTCTGGCTTCGAGAGCTCAATAGAAGAGCTTTTGTTACACCAAAAAAAAACCCATCGGGATCAAATTGATGGTAAATTTCTGGTATTTATATGCATATCGTTTTTACCATCCAATACTGGTCAAATTTATATTAAATGGGAGTGGTTCCGATAATAACTAATAAAGTAACATGAAATGGGGGAAGAAAGTCAC